AGCGTTCGCATGCCTTTACGACCTTGCATAGTGAGGTGAGCGATTGATTACATCACCGATCCTCACCGTCGTTTTCATAAGTCGCAAGCATCTAGACTTAAGCAAAAAAACTTCGCCTCCTTGATCAATGGTTATGTTTGAATAAACTTTGGCAAAACGTCAATCTCATCAAATCAGATCATTCAAATAAAATATTATCACCAGTCGAACAACGGTCGACATTGAAAAACACTGAGCATATACCATTGTCAGGGGTTCTGCCCCGATACTGGCAAACCAACTTTTCGACATTTGGAGGGTTTATGATTTAAATAAGTAATAGAGCGAAATGTCATGGCAGATGACACAACAATAATGGTTATAGATGAGTACTCTAACGAATAATAGTGCGAATAACGTGACATTATTGCTACGTCAAGATAAATTATAATTGTCAGATACCCTTCAACGTTGTCGAAACTCTTAGTAGTTGGTAGCCCGTTGGGAATAACATGTATTTGTGTTTAACACATGTCACACAAAATGCGATGGTATCTTATTAGCGATTCCAACACCAATGATAATATGTACACTAGGCTCGCTCGACCACCTTTTGAAGCACAATTGCGAAACATAACATGTGGGTTATGTTTGTATAAGTGCATTAACTAAACTGCAATAAGCATGAGACCATCGAAACATGTTGATCAACCTACTCATATCCTTTTAGTATTTGTCTTTGTAAAAACTTATAATTCTTGTGAAAACTTATGGTCGGAGATCTTGAAAAATTATCACTTGAAGAAATAAATTTAACCTGTGAGCTAGGCTACCAGAGTGGTCCGGGACCACTTGCCCGGCCGGGCAAAAAAGGATTAAAATAAATAAAAATAAAATTTTATTTTTTATTTTTTATTTTTATTTTAAAATTGGTAAAGAATTTCAATATGACCTTGAGACAAAAGTTGTTTTGTTTATTTTTTTGCATAACATAGTTTTTTTTCGGATTTTGGGGGATTGTTTTTTTTTTTGGGGGGGGGGACCATCCGCACGGGCAACACAAGGTGACCCGGGCAGCCCGGCTGGTAGCCTAGCCTGTGAAGAAAAAAACTTATTAGTTTTATGAAGTGGATGCTGTTGCATTGGCTTTTGAACAACAAGTGTCCACAAAAAGAAAACGAACGAGGAAGTTTGTTACTTTGCATGCATTGATGCAAATACTAACCGGTCGTTTGTGGTATAAGGAATTATAATAGGCTACAATAATTGAGTACTTAAGAATTGAAAAAAAATATTGTAGGTCACTATTGCACAACTAATGTAGTTACAAGATTAAAGGGGTTGAAATAATTAAGCTACCTCGATTATGCGGTCAAAGTATTTGGTGAGGATAGTAAAGAGACCGTCCGATGAAAAAAAATATATACTTGTTAGAAGTCAGATGATGTGTATGAACTACGATTGGAGTAAGATTATATGCATAAATCTAATATCAATCTCAATTGATTACAAACAAATGCAATAAAATCATAATTGCTTTGCATATTATAATGGTGAAAGCTTACATTGTCAACCAGCTGACAACATTTCAAGTTTGGGGCTCTACCACTAATGATGGTCCAATGGTAGAAAACCTCAAACAACGAGGATGTTGGCCACACTATATTCGATATACCCAAAAAGACTCCGTTATCAACACGTGGAGGTCAATATGACACTGCATTAACAAACTATCAATCAACATCGGGTCTATGTGACTTTCAATTGGAAAACTACCAATGAATATTTTGTCACTTGTTAATAACGCCACAATATTAACTCGAACAACAATTGACAATGCCTTATTCATAATGTTTATGCGTTTACTAAGTTTGATGTTCGAGGGTCGTTGTCCAACATTATGTTTAGTGATTGTGTTATTCCACAATCAGTCAATTATCGTGCATGGTGTTGGAAGAGTGAAACTGTAATACAACCATGAACTTGTAAATCGTAACACGGAAATAGGAAGAAATGAGAGCACGAACTAACCGAACTATTGAGAAATAAGAGGAAAAGTGAGATAATGAAAAATATTGTGCTATGATATCAATGGGGTGCAATGTATCCCTTATCAGAATACGCTTGCTCGATGTGTGAGTAACTATGGTAACGAGATCCAGAGACAGGAAAAACAAGAATATAGTGACAAACAACAGAGAGCATCGGTGGCCATCCTAGTAAATTTAGGTTATGCTAAGGACATACCCTGACGATATTGTACCTCGGTAGTGATAATAATCGACTGGGTGGTTGCTTGACAAGCATAGAGTTGGACCGAGGGGAGCTCCTACATTTATGCTATAGTGTAAATAAGTGAAATGTAGACAATATTAATAGTAAGTTGCTCATCTGAATTATCACAAGGGCGACGTTAAAAACACTCCTTTGAAACAATGGTGAACCATTCGTACACCCGCTGGCTAACATCAGTATAAATGTTGGTTATTATATATCATCAATGATTGTGGCAGTGACAACGCAGTTTGTGTTGACAAAAGACAAACAATGTAGGGGAAATTTTTACGTTCTTGTTACACATAGTTCGCCAGTTATAATTCCAGATATAAATTTACTATCGAACCTTGTAATTACATAATATGGATGTGCAAGCAAACAAGACATCACGACAAAGTTGTCAAGAACAACGTAACTCCAAATCGCAAGCAAGGGGTGTTGACGATATGGCACCCTTTGAGGAAAATCGAAGTCGGAGACCAAATAACTTATCAATAGAAAATTGAATAAAAGTGAAACTGTGCAATGTCATACCCACTTGCTTCTGAGAAAAAACTATACAACAAGTGTACAAAGGAGCACAAGATAAATGAGAAAATATGGAACAACAATGATGCCTAACGAGATAGTGGAAATCAAGTGGACAAAGGGCGGGACCCAGACCATGAACTGCTAGTACCCCAATGGAAGTTCACAAATCTTGCAAATGCGCTTAGGGGCGAAAAAAACAGGGCATCCTTGGTACCTATTTCAAATGCATTCAACTCCTTGTGTAGTACCTATTCAAACACAGGCAGTTGCACATTACGTATCTACGTATACTGCACCATAAAAGTCATAAGGATGATCAATTGGCTAACTGTTGAAGGGATTGTCTATGCCTGGTGGCAAGCCTCTACAAGATGGTTGAATATCCCTGCCAATGCACATGATGTATCTACGCATATTGCACCAGGGCTAACCACCAGGCATATGACAGTCCCTTAAACAGTTGGCCAATTGATCATCCTTACGATTTTTCAGTATAGGCCTCATATGAGACTCCCTCCCACCCTTAATCATGGTTACGGTCCCCAATGCATCCGTACTCCCAAGGTCTTACCGTAGTGTTTGTGTTTTTTTTTCTAAACACAAGCCCCATGTTTTATGGGGGGCGACAGTCCGTCTGCTTATCATCGGCAAGCATAGAACGGAGCGAAGTCCAGAAAGCAAAAGTAGATAGCAAAGTTTAAGATTTCGAGGGGGGTTCGGTCAGGGCCGGCACCACGAGCCGTGTGCGGCAGGTCTGAGAGGTGGCGAACTCAGCACCCCAGACCCTGCAAGGGGTGTTGTCGGGGGACATGCTTGCAACCAGTCACAACACCCCTTTCCAGCGATTGGCAGTTGTGCTAGGCCACCCCTCTTCCCCTCGTTCTCCCCCAGAGCCCACCCCCTTTCCCATGCATCCCCTTTTTGTCCTTGATTCCGTTGTTCCCTGTCCTCTTGGCACTCATTGTTACGTTGCACCATTGTTGTCCATTATCGTGGCTTGTATATGGGCACAACTTTAGGAAATACTGATGGTTAAGCCACGCTAACCACCCAGGATCATCACCCTTTTCTAGTTACCTGACCGGACAGTGGTTGTAGGCATCAGGGCCACGCAGGTCCTCACCTCCTTCCCCAGCCCTGATTGAAGCGTAGTCGGACGAGCCCTGCTGTACCGGTACTTTGAGTGATAGGGGTAGACATTCTACTACAAGTCCCAGATGTGAACCCTTTAGTTCTATGTTGTTGAACCCTTTCCTATAGGAGGTTGTTCTTACCTAGAGCATCTCCAGTTTCTGTCTGAGGCAGGCTCACGGCCACCATCCCCTCCCCTATCACCCATAGCAATCCTTGGGTGGATTGGACACTGCTATTCTTTGATGAATGGAAGGATAAGCATTGCCTCGTATACACACATCCAAATGAAACATCAAGACTCTGCCTAATCTCGAGTCAGAAGGTGTTACGGTTTGGTTTGGAATGATAATTCTTTGGTTCTGTTTTGCAATGACAATCAGGAGTTCGCTTACTTGTGAAAATCAAAGACAGGTGCCCTCCTTGTGGCGATCTGCCACCACGAGGCTACCACCTACCTTAGTTTCAAGAGAGATGTCGTACGTGGGGGTTGTGGTGCCAGACGAGGGTTCGGTCAGGACTCAGCGGCGGCTCTGCCATTCTCTGCATTCGGAAAACTCGAAGGTCAGAGGTAGGAGGGCGGAGAGAGTTTTGCAGATCTACCACAAGTTAGCAAAACCGAACACCCAACCTCTCCAGCCCTGATCCACACACTAATTATGCAAAGTTGATTAGCTCGGGATTATTGTTGTTCCTTTGTTAGAGTAGATCTCGCATTATTTTGATATATAATATATCGTCAAATATAATATATATACAAGTCACAGATCTGACGGGTGGCAACCTGTCGTGTTGCCCACGTGGACTGGCCTTTTCGCTGCTATGTTTTGTCACAACTACGGTAGCACGTGACATCACGGAGAGTGACCGGCTCTGTTCCGGTCTTGGCTCCCTCGCTGAGGGGAAGAGAATGGTCCGAACTTGGGCCCTGTGATGAAACGCCAGGCAGGCCCAGAGGTGGGCCCACGGTACGAGCCAGCGCGCCCCTCGTTCCCCTCCTCCCCTGCGGCTGGTCGATGGAGTGGCGTTCGGGTTTTGTTCGTGGGGGTGCTGCCGGCGGCGCCATTTGTGGCTCGGCGATGTGACGCGAGCTCTTCTTACGCCTGAGCGCGCATGGCCGAGGTCTTTCCGCAGGTCGTCAGCGTCAGGAAAGATGCCGTCGACGCCGGGCAGCAGGGTCGTTGTCGAGGGGAGGAAGGAAGCGGCGCCGTGGTGTGGCGTGAGCGGTAGACCGCCTGGTGGAGGGGGTGCTGTTGCTGATGTCTTTCTCGAACGGTCTGATTCAGGAGCTACGGCGTCATCTCTTGCAACGAGTTCGGGCAGGTTGTCACCCTCTTCCTTGGCGTCTTCGCAGTCTATGTTGGCTATCCATCGCTGTAGGTTGCTAGACTGGTCCCCCAGCGCAGTGGTGGCGCTGGCGCCCAGTCTGGACGGAACAGCAGTGGCGGTGGCAAGAGAAAGCGGCCAGATCGAGCTATGGAGCACGGCGGCGGGCTCAGTTGGCTGGAATTGTTTTTCCGTAAGTGCGATTCTGCCATTTTCCTCTTGTCATTCTTCTGCGGGAGGGCAAGACTGCCTTCCTGCTACCTGCTCTACCACTTTTCATTCACTCTCCGTGGTTGCCACGGATCTTACCTGGGTATGACAACTGTGAGCGTCCTCGTCTCCTGTTCGTGTTCGGAAAGCTCCTTGCTTAGGGGTGTGTGTATGTGTGTGTGCGTGTGTGTGTGTGTGTGTGTGTGTGTGTGTGTGTGTGTGTGTGTGTGTGTGTGTG